TGTGTTCTAGTGTTACAGATTAACAAGAATTTAGGAATCTACTAATTTAAGTAATAATTTCTAATTTGTACTACAGGCTATTAAATTGATCTACTGTAATACTATAATGATAAAATATATAATAATTAATAGTAAAATAATACAGATATGAATAAATAAGATAATAAAATATATAAGCATATAAATAAATAATTAATAAATTTAAAAATAAAATAGAGATAACACCATTTGCACTATATTAAAATTTATGTTGACCCTGTACTGAACAAACTACAAAGGATATGGTTAGATTATATAAGGCAGTTCTTGATTTTGGATGGATTCATATCTCATCAAGATTAATATTTTTCACTTATTCATATTGAACATAGATGAAATCAATGTGAAATGAGGCCTTTTAATATTCAAAAATTTATCAATTTAATGAAAATATAGCAGAATTATTACACACTGCTCATTTTTATATGGAACTTGTGTTAATTCTGCTTCAGTAGAAAGACTTTGGTCTCTATGGGCTTCCACTCAAACTGCTGAAATAGACATTATTTAAGAAAATTAATGTAAAATATTTCTGTAACCTATTTAAAAATTATTATGTTATTATTTCAATATTATTCTATAGTATGATATAGCATTTAGAATGTGTCAACTATGAAGTGATATCTTGCATAAAAAAAAACTAGCTGAAGTTTAATTATCAGAAAATATTTTAAACAAAGTCATATAGAAACTCCTATTCAATCAAAATTTTAATAATGAAAATGATGATGAGAGTAATAATGAAAGTGGTGAAAGTAATAAAATATTTAGTGATGATGATGAAAATGGAGAGATACATTTATCTAGCAATAAATATCAGATACATTAGAAATCAATGAGTCTAATATAATTCATTCAAATGAACAATGGGTAAATGTAATACAAAATTTGACAGATATGACTGAAGATAGAAATTTGGAAAATGAAAATCCTTTAGATTTAGTAACAGTTAGTCATACTGTTCATCCTGCTGATGATCAAATTTCTAAATGGGTTCTTGTTAATTTTATAATGATATATTGGAGACACCTAATTTTGTAAATGAATTAATTTATTTAGGTTAATTGTTAAACATTATGAAATAATAAATAAAAATTTTATAGTTTTTATAGTAATCTCTAATAGATTGATAACTTGCTTATAGGCAGTTATAGATATGATAGGTATAGGCAAGGATGATTAAATCTTATATATATATTGTGATGCAAAATATCTTTAACCAGTTGATAATTTTTTATAGTCATTTATTTTTAATTGGTTAAATTTAAAATAGTTATCTAGTTATTTAATTCAAGTGGACAGTTAATATGCCAATTTCTAGTATTATAATTGATTTTAATCAACATTGTTGACTTGATTATTTTGTATTTCAACTCACAATAATCAATGATCATTTTAAAAAATCAAATAAAAATCAATTTTATGTGACAAATTTGAATAAAGCTATTTTTCAGTGTCATATATGTGACATAAAAAATAAATAAAAATTTTCATATAAAGTTGATTGGGTATGGGTAGCACTTTCTAAAAGATCTGCACAGATATTCACTAAGGATAATGTGGAATATTGTGGTCTTAGTCTTTTAGCTGTCACAGATGCAATATCAATATATGGTCCTACAATGATTCTGATGATCCTTTTGAGTATGAGGCATAGTATAAATAGCTGACTTCCCAACTTCCCTACTCACATATAAGATGACCACTTTTTTATATTATGCTAATATAGCTTTTAGAGCAGTCCAAAAGTCACTTGTTAAAATCCAGTATTCTGTAAAAATTACAATCTGCAAATTTGAATCATCTTCCTTAATACAATAAAAAAAATTTTTATTAATTTTTTTTAGCTATATAAAATTTTTTTGGAGATTTTCAAGTAATAAATACTTTAAATTAAAACTTCAAGAAAGTCTGTATTTCTTGATAATCATCTTCATCTCTTTTTTAAGAAAAATTTAATTATTATATAAATGTAAATCATATGATACTTATTCAATAATAATTTAAATTAGAATTGGCAGAAGATTCATCAATATAAATTTATTATCATTATATATTTCAACTCTTCTGATCGTACACCTTTCTGAATCATGAATAAATTAGTTAATTTTGAATGCCCTAGTGTTTTGGTGATTTTTTTAATAATTTTCAAATAAAATTTCTTTCAATAAAATCTTTCTTTTGCCAATGTGTAAATTTTTTAGAATAATCAGGATAGGAGCATGAAATAAATAATTCTTTGAGATAAATAGATTAAAATGAAATTTATCATTCAAAAGTATTGAAATGCAAAATAATCAATTTAACATCTTGAAATCATTTTCTCACTATCTCACTCTCTGTTTCATCTCATTATCAACCTTTTCCCAATGATTCAGAATAGGTGATAAAGAAATTGAGTCTTTGACTCTAGATGTATTGACAGTTATGTTATTTTGGTTATTGCTTTCAAATCAAACTGTTTTAACTATATTTTAGAATGATGAATGTACTCCATGAATTTATTATGAGAATTCTAAAATGCTTTATTTACATCTATCATATTTATTATTAATTTTATAAATTTTAATGGATAAGAATGCTACACTCATTTTAATTATTTTCTCTTATTATTCAATTACTTGTGAATTAAATTTTTTTAGATCTAGTTATTGTATTGGTTTTTTTTATAACAACTATAATTAATTTATTTATGTGTTTTATTTGTAAAGTTTTTAAACTTATCAATTAATTTAAATTAAAATTTAATCTAATTTAATATATTTAATGCAAATATATTTATTTGCATATTATTAATTAATTTCATTAATATTAAATCTAAATTTATTAATAATATATAATATTAAAAACTAATCAAAGGGAGTATAATTTGTTGCATTTTTGCTGTAAAGGAGACACTAAACTAATAAAATGTTAAGGTATAATTTTATCAAGGTTACTAATATAAATGATAATTAATAATGAATAACATTTAGTAAGTTTCTAATCTTAATTGTGCATTTTATGAATCAAGATTTTGAATGTAATTTTTTTAAATTCTAAAATAAATGCAAAAAATTAATGTTTCTTGAAATACTTCTCTTTATTTTCTCTTTCTCTTTATATCAATCAATTTCCTTTATATCCTAATAATGTAGACAGATGATACAAAGAGAAATCATTTCTTGACTCTGAGTTAAATGCTTATTTTAGTTATCATTTGCCTTAACTATTTATTTTAAACTAAAATATGTACTGTAAAATTTTTTTGATTTGAATCATTAGAGACATATGAATTTTTAATGAAAATCTATTATTATTAATTTATTAATTTAATTTTTTTTTAAAAAATGTTGCTAAACCTTTGGAATTTTTGTCAAAAAGTTATCAATCAAAGCAAGTTTTCTTCAGTTGGGTATGCCATCAGTAAACATTGTACCCAATTGATAAATTCATTATCATTCAAAATTATTTTCTCTTTATTTGTGAATTTTGATTTTAATTTTTTTTTTGGATGTTTTATCTCATTTTATAATTCGCATGTTTTCACTAACAAACTATATTTGGTTAAATATACGTTTTCATATGTTTAAATAGCTGATTTTTTAGTTTTTTTTGTTTAGTAATGTATACTCCAAAATAGGTGTTCATACAACAGAGACAATAGGACAATGCTGCAAACAGGAACAGTTAATGTTATACTCCTCTCCAATTTATAAAGCCAAATCAAACTTATCAATTATTTTAACTAATATTTAATATAATTTAATGTACAGTTATAAGTAGATTGTTAATTGATTTCATTAATATAATTTATCTTAATTTCTCTCGAAGGGTTGATATTTGAAATATTTATGTAATACTTTTCTGAACAAAATGAAAATATTATATGGATGAGGAAAAGTTTAAAGATAAAAATAAATCATAATTGGAGATTATATAATGCCTCAGCAGTTAGGTAAGATTATGAAGGTTTTGAGGCACAATAGTATTATAATGAAGATAGTAGTGGGCAGAGAATATTTCATTTCATTTTTCTTCTGCATCTTGTAAATAACTTTAACATGAAATTACCTCACACGATTTTTAGTTTGCCATTTGAATGGAAAGAACTATACTCAACTTTAATTTGTTGAATTTTTTTTAAACATAAAAAAATTGTACTATTATTTAGTTTGCATCTTTAAATTTATTGTCCTATTTTAAAATTTGATTCTATTATTATGAATTTTTACTTTTTTGATTACACTTGATCAAATTGTTTGCTAACTTTGAGATCTCTCTCTTTATTGCTATATGCTTAATTTTTCAAAATGGGATCCAAGAATGTCTGGTGATATTTATCATTCTCAAATAGTCTTCTATGAAGATTTTCTATTTGTATTATGAGCAATAATGTTGTATCAACAGAATCATCTTATAAAAATGTATGATCCAAACTTCTAGAGGGCAAAGCTGATTAGCATATAAAATACTTGCTCATCAGTTTTTATAAGTTGAGACAAATATTTTGAAAAATTTCAACAATGGCTTCAGGATTTGGGGTCATTTGATTTTTTTATCACCATTTGCAACAAGGTGTTCCTAACTAAAATTTCATTTGATTTAGTTATTATTTTTTTACTAGTTCTATAAAAGACAGCATATAATAATAATTGTCAACCTAAATTGCTCTTAGATGTTTAAGTACCATTTTCATTTTATTGTTATGGCTTTTCTGGAGTACAAGTTATCAACCAAAATTGCTACCTTTTTTATAAATTTTGAATGGAAATCCAATCATTCTTATTAAATTTTATATGAGAGCTATCTAGATATTCTAAAATATGTTCAGAATAAATCATATTTATCTATATTAAGTAAACATCATTTTCTTTAGGCCGTTAACAATTTTTATTTAATTTATATTGATTTCAGGTATCTCAAGATTGGGTTCTTTTTAGCATGTCATTTATTTTATTTCTACTTCACTTTTTATTATGAATTTTAAATTAAAAATATAATGTGGGTGCTAGATTAAATAAATATATATAATTTGTGACTTTTAGTGATTAGAACTTATTTTTTTTCATTATTATACATTGATGTTTCCTTTCTTATTTTTCACAATAATAATATGTGGATTATATTAAATATATTTAATATGTAGTATTAAAGTAGAAATATTGAAAAAATTAATTGATATGGGTGGCACTTCGCTGCTAATTTCCTTCCCTAATCTAATTTCAGTTTATTGCTATAAAAATTATAGAATCAATTGAATATGTCATTCATAATGTTAGTTGATGGTTTTGTTACTCATTGGAGCTTTGCTTTAAATGGACTAAACTAATAAAAATTATAGATTAATGAGACTGGGAATTTTTGCATTCTAAAGTCTTACAATATTTATTAATTGCAATAAAAAAAGTACTCTGTTATTTTCTCGAAAATAGCAACTTTTTTTTTATGATGTGTATTAATTTATTTGATTTTTTTTTTGTTTTAGTTTAATTATTAATTTATCAATTTACTTATTTAAACCTATTAATTTTAATTGATTATCAAGTACCAAATATCTCATCTATCTTCTTTTAATTTTTTTTTCATATAATGAAATAAATTTGCTTCCATATTATGGATTAAATCTAAAACAAGTATTTTGTTTGATTTTTTTTTGTAAAAATCTTTTGCTAATTTTGAATGCCATTTCATATTAATTTTAATGTTAGGTTAATTTTATTTTATTTTAAATTACTTAAAATGCAATCTTTAAAATTACAAATTTACTTTTTTTTTTATTTTAATTCTTCTTAAGAAAGAACGTGCATATATTGCATAGTTCTTAATTAGCTAATTTATTCTATTTTTTTTTTTTTTTGCCATTTCAAAAAAAAATGATAACGTTATACCTTTATATACAAATATTTATTTTATTTTTATGTTTTTATTTATTAGATTACTTTGTGAAGAATTAATCTAAAATAAAATAATAAAAAATAAAATCAAAAGATCATTAAAAATGTGACACTTATATACCTATGCCAAAAGTTCTCATGACAAAATTGAGAATCCATTATCCAAATAATCAATCTGAGCAATCTATTCAATCATAAAAATTACATGAGATAACGACATTATCATCATCATCATCATCATAGTAGTTATCATCCACGAATATTCGTTATTATAACAAAATATCAGAAGCCACTAGATATGGAGCGATAGATGAAATATTAACAATGATTTAGCCTCATTTAAAATACAAAATTTAATTCGAAAATATGGAAGATTTTAAATCAGTTAGAATCTTGATGAATTGGAAGTTATTATTTTAACGAATATAATAGAGTTTTGGATGTTTTGAAGATATTGTTTAATTGGTATTTATTTTTATATTATTTTATATCTTATAAGTTCATTTTTATTTGTTTACTGCTTTTAAATTTTTAAAATTCCAAATTCCAAATCAAAAAAATATTAAATAATAGTCAACCCACTTTAGGGCATACTTCTTCCATCTTATATTTTGATTCATTGTAATGTTTATTTAAATATGGTTGTTATAGGGAATAAAGAAGTGGTATATTTGATCAACAACAGCAGGGGAATTTGTATTTAATTACTTAAATTTACTTTATTTGGTGTTATTATTAAAAGATCACACGAATTATATTTCGATGCTAAAGAAAAAATACTTAGAGGAATATCAATAATAGGATATCTTATCCTCTTCAGAGTCCCACTCAAAGTAAGTTTAAGATATATTGTAACAAGTTGATTTAGTAAAAAGTGAAGATTATTTAGAATCTTGTTCGTTAAAAATCAATACATCTATCACATAACAATTATAAACAATAATAATAATAAATACAATTTGATGATAAACATAATTGAGATTGATACATTATAATTATATATGTCAATTTCATATTGAATTGTTCATTGTATTGTTGTTGGTATATGCACCGAAAAACATATTTCTAAATACGATCAGGCCACTCGTGAGAAAAGCAATCAATCATATGTGATAACTTAAGCAACATTAAGAAATTTGCTTAGATTGTTGCTAGGTTATTATCGGAACAACAACTGCTATAGCCTCTACCTAAACAATAAATCTCATTACTACCAAGGTTCAAGGACCACCAAAAAAGGTGAAGCAGATCATTATGACAAAGAAAACGAGGAATAGCAACAAAACAACATCAACAATATGACAATTACTCAAAAAATAACAACTATTCCAACAACAAATGTTAAAGACTCCAATTAGAGTGAGACCAAATTATCCAGCAACAACAATCAGCTGCATGATGAAATGGATAATGATAATGGAGATGTTAATCAAAATGAATTTGAATCGTAATCGTCTAAGAAAAGAAAATCTGCTGATTAACGCGCGATTCAGCAACGTAAATAAATATAAAAATATGAAAAATCGATGAAAATTATTAAAATGCTAAAAAAAAATATTGTCAATATATATTATGCATAATTTAAATATTCGATATATTTTATTATTCTTCATTTTCAAACCCCTCGATGATATTTATGCTCTTTGTTGTGGTTGTTATTTTCCCATTTATTTTATATTTATTAACTTAAATATGATGTTGTTGGTTTTTAATTCATTTGGTATATAATTTATTTGTTACAGTATTTAATTTTTATTTTTTTATCGTTTGAATTACAAGGAAACTAATTAGAACATTCTTTATTTATTCTCAATTTGATTTAATTATTTAAATTCAATAATTATAATGATATAAAAATCTGACATTGTTATCTATTTATGATTAATATTTGAATTATAATGCTATATAAATTCAAACGATCCTATACGGTAACAATAACGGCGAGCGATGAACGATCACCTGGGATTTAATGACCACGGCCGCGAGCTGGAAAGAAACAATTTAGATTTATGCATTATGCGTTCATGTTTCATTTATAAAATTTAAATAATTATAATTTAAAAGAATATAAATAATATATTTAGTCTCAGTATAAAAATTGATTTTCATTGTAATTCAAATAATTTCAATTATTTAAAGATTATTCCAATCAATATCATCCAAATCAATATCACTAAGATCTAAATTTAAATTTGGTAAAGGAGGTAGAGGAGGTGAAATTTCTTCACTGGCAAGAGTTGCTTGACCCTCATCCAAAACATGAACGAATTTTCTGTTTGTTGATCTATTTATTTAATATTTCATTAACTATTTTTGTACTTGGACGTTCAGATGGATCTTTGTGCAACACTTTTTCATCAATTCTACATAACATTGAGGCGTTCCTTTTTCGTTTTTGGCCAAGTTCTTCAAGAATTTCTAAAGTTAATTCTAGATCATATGCTCTGCCAGAAAATGGTACCTTTCCTGTTGATAGTACCCCCATAATAATACCAGCACTATAAATAGCATAAGCTTGAATATATGAATTTTGATTCAAAATTTCAGGTGCAATATATGGTAATACACCATATCCTACGGATGATTTAATTTCATCTACAGTTCTACAAAATCTTAAATCTCCTAATCTTATGGATTTTAAATTATCACATGCTTCAGTAATCATTAGATTGCTACCATCCATGATGACAGATTGTTCATCCTTGTATGTTATCTTTTATCCTTGTGCGTGATCCTCGAAGAAAGAAGAAAAACGTGTTTAAACGCAACAACTAAAGATAGAAGAAAACAATCCGAAAATGTATAAAATAGCTAGTAAAAGGGGATAGGTCTTCCGCTACAATTTTTGGACTTTATATTTTTTCTTTTAATCAATTTCGTGAATTTACATTTTTATTTCCTTATATTCATATAAAACATAATAATAGAAATTTTCTTGAAAAATTTGTAATATTTTGGAAAAAACAATAAATTTTCTTTGCAACAGTTTAGCAATAGGGATAAGACACGCCAAAGCGGTGATATATTTCTGTTGCTACACTTTGCAATAAATTTGATAACAATAGTAATAATTTCGAAATATCTCATAATACTCCAATAAATTTTATTTCGTGATAAACGGTAATAGGGATAGACATCCTACCCATGATAATATTTCTATTGCCGAAGTTTTAAATAAATTTGATAAACTACTTTGTTTCTCTGAATAAAGTTACTGCATAAAGTTTGAAGCTAAGATTTGAAAGTTTGCATCGTAAGCTGAAATAAAATACTTTTACTCCACTTACTCACATACCTTCAGATTATACCTGTGGGCATGATCATAGAGTTATTTTAGTAGTTGTCCGCAACATTTAGGCAAGTGACTGCTTGATCCTAACTGTGGAAGAGTATATTATTACGTAAGACGTATTGTACGCGAGGGTGCAAAAAGGTATAAAAATAATTCGATTTAGTTGGACTGATTACCATAACTTTACTTCTTGTTCTGAAAAGACCGCCACAGTAGGGAATCCATAAATAGACTTCACTTTGATTTCTTCCTTTGTACAAAATGCGCAATAGTTAAATTTGTCTCATATAAAGATAAGAAACTATATTTTCGATAATTGTTTAAAAAATTTTTTTTTCGTTTCAAAATATTTACTTACATTTTTTCAGAATAGCTTTTCTCCTTTGAATTGTAAACAATGCAAGAAAATAAAAATATTATTTATCTAATACTAAAGAATAGCCCATAAGATTTCTTTTGATTTCTTGTTAAATAATTAATTAATTTTGTAATAAAATTGGGTAACTTAATTATTTTAACTAATTAATTAATTAATTGACTATTCATTAATATTCATTTATTTGCAAAATAATTTAATAATATATTATATTTTAATTTAATAATTTAAAAATCATTAAAATTTTCAACAACACTTTTTGCATTACAAAATTTGTATTGTAAATTAGAATATTTATATAATTTTTTTACCTCTTAACCTCGATCTCAAAATAACATTTCTCCATAGAAACTTTTTCTTTCATTTATTAATTTATGCTTTTTATTTTGTTATTTAAGAAAAATAATACGAAAATACAAAGTGATCTATATTTATATTTTTCTATAATTAAACTTATTTCACTCAAACCTTTTTATTATGATCTATGCTTTCTAATTTTGTTTAAAACAAAATCTATGAACAACAATCAAATTTTTAACAAAAATTCAGGTCAAATATTTAGATAATGAGAATAGATTTTACTTAAATTTAAAACATTTCCTTTACCAAAAAACGAACGACGATCATCTGATCAAAAAAATGTTTTTTATTTTCCCAAAAGTAACGATTTTCTTTCAAACTATCATGTTGTTAGGAATTTGTTTTTGGCAAGATTTTCTTTTACGAATAGATATAATTTGAATCAGAGAGAACGTTTGGCAAATCACATGTTAATAATATGACCTTATAAGAGCGATACAATGTTGGTTTTTTTTTGGAATTAACAAACAAGAAATTATATTAAACGTCTATTTGTGCGCAGAGTTTTTTTTAAAAAAAATTGCTTAAATTTTTTGATAAATTATCTCTCGATGTTTCAGAACTTCTTAATGACAAAAAAGAATATAACGTTGTCATCGAAGTTGGTAAAGAAGAAAATATGAAATCCTTTACCGCACATTCCGTTGTCTTACATTATCGTTATCCTACTTCGATAAAGAATTAGAGAACGTTAATACAAATGAAGATCATATTAAAACTTATTATTAAATCAAATATTTCTGTTCAAATTTTTGAATTATTCTTAAGTAAGTAAAGAAATTCATTTATTATTATTTTTTTAAAATATTATATTGAATATATTGGGACTCTATATTAATAGACCAAAATGCATTGAATAGATAAATTTATGGTGGAATTGTTAATATTGAAAACACGGATACCAAAACCATTTATGAATTAATGAATTAGAGCTTGATGAACTATCAGTTCAGTAAGATTAGAAAGTTATCTTATTGAACTTAAACTTCTTGGTTAATAACTCATTTCTCCTTTATTTATCATTCAATTTTTGATGAAAATAACTTTAAAGGCCTGAAAAAATTTTACAATGATATTATTATTAAGCATCCAACTTTGATTTTTGAATCAGAAGATTTCACTTCATTCTCAAGAAACAGCATTGATTTCTATTTTACAAAGAGATGACTTGGAGTCGAAGAAATTAAAATTTGGAATAATGTTATTAAATGGGGAATTGCACAAAATCCCACTTTACCTGCTGATTCTGAAGAATGGTCTAATGAAAATTTCAAAACTTTGAAAATAACGCTACAACAATTTTTACTACTTATCCGATATTTCCATATTTCTGGTTAAGATATTCGGGAAAAAGTGAAGCCCTACGAAAATATCCTTGATAACGTGCTTTGGCAGAACATAATTCAACATTTTAGATCTCTTAATAAACCTCTTGTTTTACATGCGAGAATAATTTCAACCCCCGAATTACCTTCAAGAGTGAATGAACCATTCTCAACTATTATTCACAAAGAACATGTTGCAGAACTTTCATCATGGATTGATTGAAAATCGGCTACTTATTCTTTTGAAATATCTCTCATGAATGTCAATTAATTCATCGAGGAAGTAGAGAAAGTTTCATCCCATGACATTTTGGAACATATGTCACGGACTTTTTGGCCCAATTGTGGTTGCAAAGATTACTGGAACTGATGAAATAGTTGGTGTTTATAATCCTTTATCTTGGGATAATTCAAGAAGCGGTGCTTTTATTAAAACAAAGGATAGTTTCATTTTTTCATCAAAGAATGGTAATATTCGAAATTCAACTCTCAGCAGAGTTAAAGTTCAACTTAAAGCTCTATTTTATTGTCATTCTAGTCATCAGAATATTTATGGTCTATGGTTTGGAAATAGTGGATTTGTGATGTAATCAATTTGTTTCTGATTTTACTCAAGATAAAGCATTTTAGTGTGATTATGATGCTAAATATATTGATTATAATTATAAAGAACCTATTATACCAACTAATGAAAAATTTTCTATTGTAGATTATGAGGTATTTAGGATTATTAAAAATAAATTCCAAACTATTTAAATGTCTTAATGATAATTACTTCTTTTTAACTTTAATAAAGAGTTAATGAATATTTATGCGAATGTTAAAAAAAATTTATTATGAACAAAGATATTTTATATCCGTTCAGATTTTGGAATTATCTAGTGTACAAAATATTTTCAAGATGAAAAAAATTCATAAAGTTTGAGAACTCGTTATTTATTTAGAAGCGAGTCATTATCTAAATAATAATGAATCTTCATTTTTATTCAAAAATTGTTATACTTTTATATAAGATTTTATTCATCTCATTTCCAGATGTATATAAATTTTTTTTAATTTAAAGTATTGATTTTTTTTACATCCATTTATTATATCTATTATATCTTTTGTATATTATTAGTGTTTAACTTTGGAACATTAGTGAGAGAACTATCGACTCTAAAAGAGGCGGGTCGAGTGTATTCAATCTTAAAATGATTATTATATAGATTGATGAAGACGATGAGATTTTTGCTTTGTTTAATTTTATTTAATAAATTTTTGCTGAATTTATCTCTCACTATCTTTGTTATTATTATTATTGTTTTAAAAAATATCATTAAAATATATCATTTGCATTGATCAATTGAATTCATGATGAAAAATTTTCGCATACGTTAATTTTGAATTATTTCGATTGAGAATGAAAAGATATTTTTTTTTTAAAAAAATTTTTCAAAAAAAAATAGTATAAATGTTTTTTATTTCAAATATTTTATTATTATACATTATTATTTTTATTGTAAACCGTGTAAATTGTATTGATAATTATGTAAAAGTCTAAATAATCTTCACTTTTTATTAAGCCAGCTCTTTACAATAACCATATCTTAAACTTGCTTTGAGCGGGACACTGAAGAGGACAAGGTAGAAGTATTCTTTCTTTGGCATCGAAATCTAATTCTTGTGATTTTTTAATAATATCATCAAGTAAAATTAATTCAGACTAAGATCCTATTACATCCGAAAAAAATAGAGATAATAATGAATTCCCATGATCAAATGCATCACCAACTTCCCCTTCTTTATTCTCTTTAACAACCATATTTGAGAACGAGATGCTCAATTGAATCAAAATTTAAGATGATAAAATTCACGGGAAAAAATGTTGTAAGGTGTGTTGGCTATTTTTAATTAAAAGTAATTTTGATATTTTGAGTAATTTAAAATTAATAAATAATAAATAAACTAATGATAAGAAATAAAATAAAATAAAATATAATATAAATAAAATATTATCTCCAAAAACATCCAAAACTCCATTTATTCTTTAAAATAATAAGTTTCTAACTCATTGAAATTTAGAGGATTTGGAATTTTTGAGGTTAAATCATTATTAAATATTTCATCTATCGTTCCATATCTTTTTGTTTATGGTGACTGTCATCCATTACTTTCAATTATTACGATTTAACAGATTTGATTGAATATTTGTCTCAGCGGAGTTGAATTTTTGCCATGAGAACTTTTTACATCTTTCATTTAAGTATATAAGTGTCTTGATTTTAATGATCTTTTGATTTATTTTTTAATTAATTTATTTTTAGATTAATTCTTTCACAAAGTAAAATAAAAAAAAAAATAACAGAAAATAAAAATAAAAAATGATAAAATAAAATAAATAAATATATTTATATAGATTTATAATATTATCTTTTTTTTTGAAACGGCAGAAAAAAGGTAAGTTTGAATAATAAAAATTTTATATGCAAGAAAATAATCAAAAATGTCATTTAAAATTAGCATATAAATTTTTGCAAAAATAAATTGAAATTATTATAAAAATTTCTTTATATTTTGATTCAGATTCAATTCATATTATGGAAATTAAGTTTAATTTATTAGATTATGAAAAAATTAAAACCTGTAGATGATAGATGAGATGACTGAAGATACTTAATGTTTAATTAATTTATTAAATGAATTAAATAAAATTAATATTAATAAAGTTAAATAAGGAGATTAAAATAAATAATTAAATTAAAATAAATAAATAAATTAAAATAAATGAATTAAATAAATAGATGCACAAAAAAGAAGTTATTAATCAAAATGAAAAATGCTTTGTTTATTTCTTGAAAACAATAAGTATTGTAAAACTATTGGCTTTATTTATCAATAATTTTAATAATTATGAATGAACATATCAATTGATGCTATAATTTTTATTGCAACAAACTGAAATTAGTTCAGAAAAGAAAAAAAGGACTTCAGGATTGGTAATTAGGGAGACTTTAAGCAAGTTGGAGATTCAAATAATAATTTTGAAAGACAAATTCTGAGGAGTTTGCAACATATATATTTTGAATGTAGCCACCCACTTTATATTTCTGTAATTTTAAATTTATAATAAAAAATTAAATAGAAATAAATGGATTTTGTATGAAAACAACTAGATAGAAAACAAATTTTACATTCAGGCATGACAAAGAATTTACAATTATCAGAATAATTTCCCAATCATGATGTCACTGGTAAATTTTGATAATATAGACATCAGATTATTATTTCAATAAAGTTTCACCCACATTGGACTAAAATAAATACAAAGACTATAATTTAATTCAATTAAATATAGCTTGAAAGATTATATGTTAAAAAAAAAGCCAGACTAACTCAGAACATAGTCTAAAATCAAAATAAAGTCAAGCAAATAAGTAATCAATTACTTGATAGTTTTTGTAGTTAACTTTTTAGTGACTTCCACTAAAATATTTATAGATTAGAAAAAGTGAAATCAAGATGGTATGATTGGTCACATACAGCATGCTTTAGTCATGTCATGCAAGTTTTTTTATTATTATTCAAGATTAAAATTAAAAATACACTTTCAAGTTGGCTCCTTTGTTATAATTATTAACTGCAATCAAAATTAATTCATTAGAAAATATAAAAAAAAAGAAGCATTAAATAAAAAAGGGTGATGATCTTTTTTTCACCACTGTAAGAATTTCTTGAGATATTCCATGAGGGATTCATTAGAATTCATATATTTTTTTTAATTAAGAAAAATTAATGATGACAATTTTTCCTAACAATACTGTGAGGAGAAATTTATAAGGATTCCATGAGAAAATAGATGTATACCTTATAACTAAATCTGAGTCTACTTTAAAGTATAAAGTTTGATAAGAATAATTACCCATTGGGAAAGAAATTATAAACAGTGGTGTTGATAAATCATACACTCAAAAATGGCAAAAACTATGCTTAAATACCTTAGGCTGCCAAAGATTTATTATTGTATACTTTTTTATTAGAGAACATGTAGAAATAATAAATCAAAACAATCAAAGTTTAATTTAGGAATACCTTGTTACAAATGATGGTAAAAAAACCCAAATGATTCCAATTCTGATGCCATCCTTGGACTTAAAACAACAGATTTGTCTCCAAACTTAAAAAAGGGATTTTGAGCAGGTGTCAACTTTGCCCTCTAGAAGTTTGGGTTGAAATTTTTATAGTAGGATTCTATTGAAATCATATTCTTAAATACCAAGATAAAATCTTCATATAAGACTATTTTGGAAATGAAAAAATTTTAACCAGTCTTCAATTCTATTTTAAATAATATCAAGCATATAGCAATGAATGAGTGATCTTAAATTAGTAAATAATTTTGACTATTATGATGAAAATTTTAATAAAAAGTTTATGAGGATCAGGTTGATCTACATGATATATTTTCTTTTAAAATTTTTTTCAGATAATAATGGTGTATCCAAGTTATCAGTCAGACTTCCTCGACATACACACATAGGTATTGATTAGAATATTACAATGCAAATTTTAAAAAATTTAGATAATTTTGATGACTTTATGAAAGTGAAATTATACCATCAGACTATGCCATTCTTGTCATATTAATAATTTCATTTTAAGTATAAATGTCACATCTCACATTATAAATATTATGTGTAAATCTTAAATTAGAGTAAAATAGGTCATTTTAATGAGTAAAGCAGCTGGTTACATATTTACATTTGCTTTATACATTTTCATACATTAAAAAAAAGATAAATCACCATAATAAATGTAAGATCTATAAGAAGGTTCTGAATAAAATAAAAACTTTCTGTCAAATAAATAATTTCTCATTTGTTTTAGTTTTTTCAAATAATAAACTATGTATGCAAAGCTTTATTATTGATTAACATTTAATTATCTTAGCATTTTATATTTAGAACTTTCAATTCAAAAAATATTACAGTTATCAAAAAAATTTCATGAAATTAATGACAATAATAATAAAAAGTTACATCAAACACTTATGTAACGAAATTTTTTTAGTAAAGAAAATTTATCATATACTTATATTTAATTAAGTTCAATATGTTTAATGGAAAAAATAATATTGATGATTTGTTATTAAGATTAGATTACACAATTACTCAAAATGGCTTAATTACAAATTAATAAAACTATTTTTGTCTTCCTTTAACAATATTTTTAAAAACTTTATTCATTTTGTAGAACAATTCTCCATGATTGCAACAATTTTTATTCGTGACTTGATGTCACATGATTGTTTTCTTTTTTTTTTTTTTTATATCCAACGGAGTCTTTCTCCAATAAACTTTATTAATAGATTAAGTGTAAATTTTAAAGATACAATAATTTATTTTACATTTATTGAAACTGACTAAAAATAAAATTTTACGGTCCGACTCATCATTGCCTAACATGATTGTTTTCTTATTTTTGTCTTTTATTTTATTTTTATTTCAAATGAATAACATATGGATGAATTAACAGAGACAGTTGTCCAGTCAATTGCACTAATTATATTCTTTTTATTTGATTACCATATGTTACTATACATGTTTGTTATTATATATTTCTTATTTTGGTGTTTAATTATATTTATCTTTATATTAATTTTTATTCATATCCAGGTCTAGATCAGTTTTAAGACCTAAGTAATAAATTTTTATATTATTATATATATTCTAATTAATAAAAATACATAAGACTTTTATTTTTATGCTATAAAGACAGCTTCACTCATTTTAATTTAATTACAATCAAGCAGAATTGTTTTTATGTGTTCGAATAATCCAGTAGAATTATTCTTAACCATTATTTTTGTAAGGAATCAAGAATTTTTATTATATCTAAATTTTGTTCATTTTTTTTAACAAACCTATGATAAAATGTTTTAAAGAAGTGTCTCACAAATTAATTTTTCAAACTTGTATAAGTTAAATCTAGTTTTCAATAACCTCAAGAAAATTCTAAGACAGATGATAATTTCAAGAATATTTCTGACACCAATTTTTTTGTAATTATATTAGCTAATTAATTTTTGGTTGGTACTAGCACTATATTATGGTAATTATTTCATCTTTTATCAAATTGGAATGATATCAATACTTATTATAAATAATTATTGGATAATTATTTAATTAATTAACTAGTGCCCAATAAATCAAGACTTCATTCATTAATGCTAGTAGTGAAAAATCCAATATAGTGTATAACGAATATTTTAAATATTTTGATATAAAATATAAGTTTATAAATATTTATTGGAATTGTTAAATAATTTAAAATAATAATAATTATAATAATAAATATTGTCATGGTCTGTGCATAACAAGTGGAAAGTTAAGCCAATCAGTCTCAATAAATTTAGGTCAATCACATGATAATTCAATGTATTACTAACACACTATCTCTTGTACACAATATCACACCAAGACAGGCAATCAGTTGATCTAAACCTGCTTACTAACACTTAAACAATGCAATTACATGTTATATCTGAAGGTATGGTGAGCAAGTGGAGTAAAAGTATCTTTACTAACTGCTTCGTATGTTACCAAAATTTAACAGACTTTTTGAAATAACTTTTCAAGAAGAGTAAAACAGTTTATTAAAAATTTATTAAAAGAATAAATCAATAAGGATATATTACTGCGTTGGCATATCTTATCCCTGTTGCTATTCCGATACACAAAATTATTATTAAAATTAAAAACTTTTTCACAAAAATTATTTTATTATTTTTAAGATTATTTCGAAACTATTTATATTTGTTATTAC